ATGTAAAAATAGGTTTAACGCTTCGACATAAGGAAAAATAAATTATAGAATAAAAATACAATAAAGTAATAAGGCGGTAAGGAGAGAAAGGAAATAAATTACACGCTGAAAATTAATAACAAAAAATACCAGTGGCACAGCGGTATGTCTGCGGACTTACAACGCTAGAAATTAGGTTTCGATACCCCTGGTAGGCAGAGCATAGAAAGCCCATTGTGTAGCTCTGTGCTTAACTACAAACAACAACAACCTTACCAGTGTTCCCTCTAGGCTGCGCGGTCGCTCAAGAACCAATGAAGTGCCGCGTACTTCAATATTCCACTCGCGCGCATCCCCAGTAATAGTGAGGAGTCTCAATACGTTGACAGCCTTAATGGCACTGGCAGTCGATAGGCCTAAAGTCCAAATGACCAACTGGTAGCATAGCTAATGATCCAATAGGGTCGATGATCTAAAAATACCCCCTTAAAAAAAACACAAAAAAACTGGTAGCACACATCCACACATTGCCTTGATACTGGTGCACATGAAAAAATTATTAAAAGCTACAATTTTTCACTTGGCTCTTCAATGTTAGAGTACTTACTCCCCTTTTGCTGAGAATGCTCGAAACGTTGACGATGGAACCTTTACTTTCAATCAGGTGAGGAACAGCTAGCATCGTCAAGTGATAGACAGCTCTTCGAAACATAAAAGAAAAATACTTAGAATGTTTTTAAAACTAACTATTATAGCAATAGATGGCGCCACTAATACTAAGATGGTATGAAAATAAACTTGTAAGTGTTGGCAAACAATCTAGTTAGGCTAATCTCTACAGAACATTCTTAATGGCAAATAATTTGACACCGATTCAGGAAAACTTCCAAGCATTTTCCCATTAAAAAGAAACTGTGCATAAATTCAAAATTATTAGGATTTGATTTTTAAAATATATTTTGTTTATGAGCTATATATTACTTGTTATTTTTCATTAATTAGTTCCACCGTATATTTTGGGACGATTTAATAACGACTTATAATGTAAAGTATATATTTGTATTTTATACAATAAACTAAATCCTCAAACTTGTTATAACTGTGGTTATAGTATTTTCATTATTTTTTACGTATTTACTATGACCAGGTGGTTAGAGCGCTCTACTTACAACCTGTGGGTTCGAATCTCCGTCCCACCAAACATACTCGTCAATCCCACTATTCGTAGGTAAAAGAGTAGCCCAAGAGTTGGCGGTGGGTGTTGATGATTAGTTGCCTTCCCTTTAGTCTTTCACTGCTAAATTAGGGACGGCTAGTGCAGATAGTCCTCGTGTAGCTTTGCGCGAGATTCGTAACAAACTATAGTTCATGTATATACTTGTGTATGCGGTATTTTTTATGCTCATATATATTTAACTCTGAATATCTTTAGCTTATATTTTACTTCCACACAATATCATGTTTCTCTGCTCAACTTTAAAAGTTCTAAATAAAATAAAATCATTTTAAAACACACCACTAATACTGTAAAACAAAAAACTACTGTGTGTGTGTGTGTTCAGTACTTTCTTATTTGTCTAGTATACATTTAAAGTATTTTATTTATTTATAGATGTAAACTTCCTTACCGAACATTGGTTTTCCACACTAAATCTAGTGTCTCCAAAGAACCTTTTTGAGCTGAGTCTAATGCTAACATACCAGCATTGTTAACCTGAAGAGAAACCACATTGTTAATGTTCCTGCTTTCCTCTGACATTCCTATTAATTTGTCTTCTTCGGATTCAAAATAAAAATTGTGTAAAATGTTAATTGTATCACAATATTTTATACATTTTGGTTTCTAGTGCTTCGCCAGGTGTCAGCATTATAACCGTAACTTCTAATGTTGAATAAGTTTGTTACCAGGCCACACCTGTTATGGCTAACTCTCTATGTAAGGTAATTTCTATTTTCTCCCCACCTCTTACTTTTATTGAGTATAGCATTGCAAGTCTGTATACTTACCTCTATGTTAGGCTTATTAAAATATTGGTTGTTTCACAAATTTTTGGCCTATTCGTTTCTAAAACTTAGTCAGTTGTTAGGGTTAAAACCGTAACTTTTGACGTTCATTGAGTACATATACCCTAAACTAACTGCCTTCGCACTTTCAAGTCCTACGATCTTCAACTATCCAGGTTGAAATATCTGACCTTTTAGTGGCAGCTCAGTGATTTACAGATGAATCCTAAGATTGACCTCTTGAGAAAGATTACATTACAGGTATTTTTCACGCTAAGCTTTTATTAAGGAATTTGTATTACTGATTTTAAGGATTCTACTTAGTGACTGAAGAGACACGGGAGTGTTGTAGGAGCAGTATGGTTGTTAGCATTGTCTGGCTTATTCATAACGATTGTTTTAACAAGTATATTTTATATGATATAGTTAGAAGGGGACTTAGCTTTTTCACACATGATCGAGAAATAAAACTATCAAAATATGCATAAAACATCGTGGGGGTGGGAGAGAGAAAAAATTGATTTTGTGATTGACGGTTCCTCTTTGCCCCATGGAAAGAAAATCCCTGTATATATATATATATAATCAGAAAAGTGAAACACGAACTCAAGCATATAAGTACGACATCACAAAGACGATAACTATTGGTTAAGTAGAAAATATGCTCTTTCTGAAACGATTTTAGTTTCGTTTCTTTACTGAGGGTGCTAAGCAATTTTTTGTTTCTAGTTAAATGTAGGCCTGCCAGGCTTAACTGCTGTCTTAACCAGCTGTACTTTAACCAGAAACAACAATATATGATCAGCTCCATTGGCCTTCGAAGGCCTATGAGTTCTACGAAAACGTACAAAAGTAATAATGTTATATTGGTATAAACGTAATATGATATTTTTTTTTTCCAGTAAATAAACTCACCAGAATATCCAGTCTTCCATAGGTGTCAATTGTTGACTTCATAATTCGCTCAATATCTGATTCTATGGTTAAATCACCGACGATACACAAAGGCTGAAACATACAAGTGAACTTTGAGTTTAAAAAATAATAATATACTGGGTTATATGCACCAGAGTAATTTTTTTGGCAAAGAATTATAAGTTGTTATATTGGTTGAACACCTGATTCACCTGTCGTATTCAAGATGTACAAAGTTATGAAAAGCAAAATATCTTACAGTTTGTTTTATAGCAAAATCACATTGAGCTATCTGCTATGTCCACCAAGGGGAATCAAGCCCCGGATTTTAGCGTTGCAAGTCTGTAGTCTTAGATCTGTCCCCAATAGTTTACAAACATTTTAATGAAAACAATATAAGTATCTAATAATGATTGAATGTATTATAAAAACAAAACAAAGTCTTAAATGCTATATTCCCAGTCTGCACAATGCAACCCTAGAACAAAACTACAATAGAATAGGTTTTGGAAATTTAAATAATTGTTTTCATCCTAAAACTATCATCTCGTTGAAATGGAGGAAGTCGTACAGTCTTGGTGGAATAAAGGTAACATAAAATAAATAAAAAATTCTAATTACAGTTTAAGAACGATTTCAGAAACTTAGCAGTTTTTATAATAAATAAATAAAACTAAACGTTAATAGAAAAAACAAACAAAACACGATAGGACAAATCAATTCACAATATATAAGATTCTGGCTTTATATATAAGTAAGATTATATGATTTATATTTCTAGTAAATACGAAGATCCAAACTTTTGTATTGGAACATTAGGGACTTAGAATATCATCTAAATGTTTACATGTTTCTAGTGATTCTCGAAAATTAACTTTTTAATAAAGGCACAGTTAAAAAGAAGTTCAGTTTTATGCCACGAGATTTCACGACCTGTATTTACATGATACTCAGCTAATGTGAACCTTTTTCTTTTCGACAATACTCTGGTGTCCTACATACAGATCTTAGCACATAAACACCGAATCTTGTAAACACCACGTTTAACAAAACATTCAACGAATATTTAAGTCTTTATAAATAAATTTGAAACCAGACTATTGAATAATGTTATTTAGGAACCACGTATGCTGATAAGATACGTGTATAATACATTTAATGCGTGGCAGACAGTGGTGATACTCTAACTTTCCTGAATACGTGAACTCTCATCATATTAAAATTAGTTTCAATGTAAAATAGAAACCCTTCAGTCAGCTACCTCTCCATGACGTCATCGCCATTAGATCTCAACCACTGTTTACCGGAACCACTTCTCTGTCGCAACGCCGTGAAATAAGAACCGTTTATTTACCTCCTTTAAAAATAAATACATCTCGGCATCATTTAAAGACTCACTGACTACTTCTGATACGGCTTAACTCACTTGTCATCATCGCCATTAGAGAGGAAAAAGGCAATATCTCAACCACTGTTTACCGGAACCACTTCTCTGTCACAACCCCGTGAAATAAGAACCGTTTATTTACCTCCTTTAAAAATAAAAACATCTCGGCATCATTTAAAGACTCACTGACTACTTCTGATACGGCTTAACTCACTTGTCATCATCGCCATTAGAGAAGAAAAAGGCAATATCTCAACCACTGTTTACCGGAACCACTTCTCTGTCACAACGCCGTGAAATAAGAACCGTTTATTTACCTCCTTTAAAAATAAATACATCTCGGCATCATTTAAAGACTCACTGACTACTTCTGATACGGCTTAACTCACTTGTCACATGCTCTCTACCTTGTTGACTCATCAATTCAAAAAAGGTGTACCGCTGAATTAACTTACTAACTGACTCACTGATTGACTCATTAACTGACTAACTAACCCTCTCACTCTTTTTTTTTTTTAACAATATTCGTTTCACTAAGTCTATCTTATATTCGAGATACTACGTCAGATATAAACACCCAGGAAATGTCTAGGCGTCATACGTCGTGCCGAAACTCCCTCTAGACTACTTTGGATTATTTTACTGAAAAGTCAAAAATAATCTATCTAATGTCAAAAAGCCGTTGCGGATATTTTCCATCCTCACCTTCCTTGGATGTGAAACGATAGAGGCAATAACGGTTTTTCTTTTGAGTTTCAGGCCCGGCATGGCCTGGTGGTTACGGCGCTCGACTCGCAATCTGAGGGTCGCGGGTTCGAATCCCCGTCCCACTAAACATGCTCGCCCTTTCAGCCGTGGGGGCGTTATAACGTGACGGTCAATCCTACTATTCGTTGGTAAAAGAGTAGCCCAAGAGTTGGCGGTGGGTGGTGATGACTAGTTGCCTTCCCTCTAGTCTTACACTGCTAAATTAGGGACGAATAGCGCAGATAGCCGTCGTGTAGCTTTACGCGAAATTCAAAACAAACAAACCAAATATTTTGAGTTTAAAAAATATGTTCAAGTATATTAGTATCATTATGTTCTTTCGTCACTAAACGGTGTTAAACATATACAGTTTTAATAGCATAAGATGGCTATAATTACATTCCTGTTTGGAAAATCAAAATCGTGGTTTATTTTTCAAAACCAGTCTTCTTTTTTTTTAGATAAGTATCATTTAAAACAGAAAGGTTTATATTAAACTGGAAGACGAAGGTTTAAACGAAAAATCTATAATATTGTTGCGTCATTGAGGTCACGC